GAGATGATGTGACAATGAGTGTGGCAGGAGGGGTCTGATTTTCTATTTGATAGCTCTGTAACCAAACAAAATTGAAGGCTATAAACAATTATAGTTTGTTTGAGCAATAACGATTTTATAGAGAGTATTTTACAATTAATTTCATACTTTTTTCAAGGGTGGTGGGTAAAATAAGGATAATGACATGCTAAGAGAAAATGTATCATGTGGGTCACACTAATGGAAATTAAGAATTTTTTAAAATATTGCCTTGTAGAATTAAGAACTTAAAACTTGTATATTATTAAAATATGGATTACTAGCTAAGATTTTATGCTATTTTAATTGGTATAACATAATCAAAAAGTAGTTTAATATAATTTTGAATGTAAGACACTAAAACCTTGTGTCATGTGCAGTAAAGGGTAGCTGGGGCAATAGGGTTAAGTAACTTTATTATTGCTTTATATCAATGAAATTGACATCAAAACATGGCTTATATTTTAAATTTTAATAATATGTATATTTTAATTTCTTAATTCAAAATAAAAATATAAGTAAAATAAAGCTAAATATCTATTTGTGTGTGTCACATAGCCCCTCCTCGTGTCTTGTTGCTCAGTTTGTATTTTTTATGCCAACTATGTTCATCTACAAGTGGTTAACGAGTTAGAAACATGAATTTTAGATACTGGAAAGCTATTATATAAATTTAGAACCTCCCAACACTTTGATTTGCTGAGAAATGAAGGTATCCAACAAATCAACTAGAGTGGCACCTCCTCCTACTCCATTCTTTCCAATCTCTTGTTGAGTTCCACCTACTTTTCTTAAAAGCAAGTTCTGCTTCACATGATTCTGAGAGTTGTTTGTAAAGAGCTTGGAGGAGAAAATAATAACCTCACCAAGACTGTTGAATGGTGGTGACCAAGTTGTTGCTCTGAATGGAGATTAAATTTTTTAACATATATATACTTTATTTATAAACCCAAGCAAGTTAGAGATGTTTAAGTGTACTAACAGAGTAATGTAATGTTTTTTCCTTTCTAAAATGTGTATTTGAAGCCTACAAAAATTACATTTCTCACCCTCCACTCGAAAAAATAAACGAGACTTAACACTGAAGGCACACTAGGGCAAAATATTTTCCTGTCACTCTAACTTTTTGTAAGTACTAGAAATCATTTTTTTCTATGTAATTTTCATTTATTGTTCTACATTTTAAGACAAATAACTAAAATTTAAGCATTTATGAGTAAATATATATGTAATGTATAGTAGCCAAATTATCGGTGTAGTTTGCAAAATATGGGTAATACAGTTAGATCTGTACTTTGTATTTGATTCTGTGTGTGTACATATATACACCTGGAAAATAGTTAAGCACCCCCAAATATTTTTCAGGATTGCTTATTGAAAATAAGGTTTAATTTTCATGATGTTGAGCAATGTTCATAATTTCAAACATAATTAAAAGGATGTGAGCGTTCAGGTGTGACATTTAAATCAGGCGCGTTTTTTTCCCCACGTGCAACTTGCTCCCTTCTTCACCTCCAATATGTACTATTTTCTCGT